AAAAAAAAATAATAATAATAATAATAATAAATAAATAAATCTATATGCTTAAAGCAATCACTAGTTAATTACTCACCCAATAATCCAGGCTCCACCTGTTACAAATGCCACAACTGGCTTTGGCCGATTAGTATTTTTGGGTAAATATAGATCAAGCCTGCCAAAAGAACAACCCCATAAGCTATACACTACAGCACTCTAAGAAACAAAAAGACATGCAAGTAATTCCATCCAATGAATGCCAACAAAACAGAGAAAGGAAACTATATCTGTTTCTTGGTTGATCTCCATAAACTATACTCCTGCGAACCTGACTTGAGAAGAAACAGTAATATCCAACTGTGAATGTCTAAGCAGGTTAGTTATTATTATGCCACAAAAAGTAAAAAAGGCAATAACTATGATCTACACAAAGTCTAATATTTATCAGAGAAATAAATGTAATGATCAGTCACAAATATTAGAAAAGTTGGTGTGAGCAAGCACTAATGCATCAAAAACATTTTGGGCAATTGAGCCTCCCAAAAGCACACCTTGAATAAAACCTGGCATAAGCAGCATAGCATAAGAACTTAGGGCAAGAAATCTTGTGATCCACCTGTAGCTTACCCTGAATAAAAATAAATGATGAGAAAATCTATCAAACAATAATTACAAATGGCAGATCTGAAATTATCAGTTATGGTAACCACTTATCTATTGTCAATAAAAAAAATACTATATTTCATGACTTAATTGTTTTAAGAAATTCAACTTCAGAAGTCGGTGGAGGAATTGAAAAACTGGGCTGTGCAGAAGTGGAGAGTAAGAGGCAGTCTTAGAATCTGAAAATTCCTGACTCAAAACTCCTGTTCATCTTTGTGAACGAAGAAGAAGCCAAGAGAGTTTGGGTGTCGGGGGGCAGGAATGTTGATGACGAACTTCTCCGTTTGGTACCCTGGGAGATGTCACATTAGTGTTGGAAGGGGAGATAAGGAAAGCCCTCTAGGTTCGTATTTATGGCTTCCCACTACATCTTTGGAGCCTCCAAGTGATAGAGAAGATTGGTTATCTCTGCGGAGGTTACATAGAGACTGATAACTCCAAGGATGCCAAAGATACAATTGAGTGGATACAAATCCAAGTGAGATGGCAGGGTCATCCGCCAAGTTCAGTTCAGATAGTGGATGGAGATGTACTGATTTCAGTGACCTTATGGCCAAAAATCCTTCCAAAAAAATCGGGCAAACCAAAAGATTGCTCGGACACAGTGGAAGTTCAATAGGACTGGATTCGAAAAGCTCTGAAGGGGCAAGATTTTTATTCAGAGGTCGGAAGAAAGCTTAAAGGGAAGGATGTTGTGACTGAAGGGAATGATGGAGGGTTGGCCGGAGGGGTGGAGGTTGAGGGTGTAACGGTGGGAAGGGAACACATAGCGGGCGAAGGAACCCGATCGCCCCAGGTGGCGCACAGAGAGAAGAGGTTGACTTGTGGGCTGTTCAAATTTTAAATGAGGACTCTTTAATTGAGAAGGTGGTTTCGAGGTGTGTAGACAATTTAATACAGGTGGTGATGGACGGGAGCAAGCAGGTGGGCCGAAGAATTGTGGAAATTCAAGGGATGTGATTTCTTGTTTGGAAGATCAGACGGAAGTTCTGAGACTACCCTGCGAGACCGTAGTTGCAGATGACTCACATGTTGGTTTCTCTCTAGATTGGTCAAGGGACCCCATGTGTGAACCCCGGGCTTGAGTTATCTTTGAACCAAACTCAACCCAGGTTCATGCTGGTCTAGTAACCCCTGCCCCCGATGCAAACGTGGCACCTTTGTCTCCAGGTGACTCTTCTCTCACTTCCACGGAGGAAGGAAGTACTACATCGGTGGCGGCTCGGGAGGATGCAAGACAACTTGTAGTGATTTCTTTAGTTGGTGACAATATTGGTGAGGGACACACTCAACTAGAGGAGCAAGGAAGAGCGACAACAGGGCCATCAAGCTCCCTTTCTACAAACCTAGGGAGGGCAATGACAGTAAGTGCAGAGGTTCGGGGGGAAGCGGAGTTTTTGGAAGACTTCAATTCAAGCCCCATTGCGATGTTACCAAGTGCTTGGTCCACAATAGGAGAAGCCTCAATTGTAACAGAGCACTTCGAACCCCTTAATGGCAGGACGGGTGCCTTGGTGAACTACAGAGATCAGAACGCGGGACCTTCAACCTGGGTCATCTCAAAGCTGATGGAGTTTGGGACTTTTTTGGGTGTGTCGATGAGAGGAATGGAGGAGATCACGAAGGCATTTCTAATGGAGGTGGAAAGGAGGGTGTTAGAGGAGAAAGGCAAGAAGGGTAGAAGAACAGAGGGGGAACATTTTAGATTGGCGTGGGGTCTTAGTGATGGGGCTAGTTCCACAAGCAGGGACAGAAAGACAGGTAGACGGAGCAGAGTGTGAAAATACCTTTCACCAAAGTTTAGTGTTTAAGTAAAATGAAGATAATCTCATGGAACATTAGAGGCCTCAATTCTGGGCGTAGGAGCATGGTGGCGGGGGCACATATAAAGAAGTGGAAGGCAGACATTCTTTGTTTATAGGAAACCAAAATGGAAGTCTTGGATTCTCAGACAATAAGGAATGTTTAGGGCGAGCGTGATTGTGATTGGTTATGCATGGTTGACATTGGGTGGGATTTTGTTTTATCGTCTGTGTATGGCCTGAATGATTCTGGGCAGAACTCAACTCTGTAAAAGAGGAGTGGGATAAGCCTTGGGTGGTAGGAGGGGACTTCAACACTGTCCGCTTTGTTTATGAGAAAAAGGGAAGTACTAGACCTAACAGGGGCATGAGGGGTTTTGCCGATTTCATGGAAAGATGGGAGCTGATGGATTTACCTCTGGTAGGAGCCAAATATACCTGGACGAACAATCAGGAGGCAGCAACCTTGGTGAAATTGGATCGATTTGTTGTCTCAACTGATTGGGAAGAGAACTTCCCTAACATGATCCAAGAGGAGGCCTTACCTAGACCTGTCTCAGACCATATGCCTATATGTCTGGACTGCAGTGGCTTACAGTTAAAGCCCTCTCCCTTCAGATTCGAGAGTTTTTGGCTTGAAGAGGATGGCTTCGTGGAAAAGTTAAAAAGTTGGTGATCTGAAATATTAGTGGAAGGAACAGCTAGCCACATAGTCAGCAAGAAGCTTAAACTTTTGAAAGAAAAAATTAAATTTTGGAGAAAAGAGAATTTCAAGGAGAGAGAACATAAGAAAAAGAGATGCTTAGAAACAATAGTTGAGTTTGACAGAATTGAGGAGGAGAGGCAACTCACACAGGCTGAGAAGAGAAGGATTGATGCAAAAGTGGAGTTCGATAAAGTCGCTTTCCAAGAAGAGCTGAAATGGAGACAGCGCTCTAAATGTTTATGGCTGAAGGAAGGCGATAACAACACAAAGTTCTTCTTCCACAAAATGGCAAGTGCTAGGAGAAGGGAAGACATTATAAAGAGGCTGGTTGTGAACGAAGAAGTGGTGGAAGAGGAGGTGAAGATCAAATACCACATAGCAGACTTCCATAAAAGGCTATATAAAGAAGAATGGCTCTCTAGGCCCAAATTGGATGGCCTTGACTTCGACAGCTTATCCATAGAGCCAGCTAGTGAGTTGGAAAGGGTGTTTATAGAGGAGGAGGTGTGGGAAGCAATTAAAGAAATGGAAGGGAATAAAGTGCCAGGCCCAGACGGCTTTACCATGGCTTTTTTCAAACATTGTTGGGATTTTCTGAAGTCTGACATTATGAAAGTTATGGAAGATTTTCACGAGTCAGCAACCTTGGAGAGAAGCTTAAACTCAACTTTCATTACTCTATTGCCCAAGAAGAAAAGCGCTGAAGAGCTCAAGGACTACAGGCCAATTAGCTTAATTGGAAGTGTTTACAAGATAATCGCCAAAGTCCTGGCTAGGAGGCTAAAGCCTGTGTTGGGTACTGTAATCTCAGAGAACCAAGGTGCGTTTGTGGCAGGAAGATTTATGGCTGATGGGGTTTTAGTGGCAAACGAGTTGATAGATGCAAGATTGAGAGGTGGAAGGTCCAGTTTACTCTGCAAAGTGGACTTTGAGAAGGCCTATGACCATATCAATTGGCATTTTTTGGACTATACTTTGAAAAGAATGAATTTCAGCTCCAAATGGAGGAGCTGAATGAAGGTTTGCACCAACACCCCTTCGTTCTCTGTATTGGTAAATGGCGTTTCTTGCGGTCGCTTCAAGAGTTCAAGGGAACTGAGGCAGAGAGACCCTCTTTCTCCCATTCTTTTCATTTGTGTGACAAAAGCTCTGAGCAGGCTGATGAAAAGGGCCACTGCAGGGGCGTTTATGGAAGGCTTTACAGTAGGAGAGGAAAGGATAGAGGTATCCTTGCTGCAGTGATGATACTCTCATTTTCTGTGATGCTTCTCTTGATCAGTTGAGCTATGCTATGGCTGTTCTTTGGTGGTTTGAGGTTGTGTCGGGTCTTCACATAAATTTGCACAAGAGTGAGTCGGTTGCGGTGGGGGAGGTGCAGAGCCTTCAAAGCTGGGAAGATTTGTGGGGGTGCAAAACAGGCAGTTTACCCATGAAGTACTTAGGGATGCCACTAGGTACAAATTGCAATTCCAAAGCCATGTGGGATATTATAGTGGAGAAATTTTAACAAGAGGTTGACCTCTTGGAAAGCTAAATACCTTTCTTTTGGAGGTAAAGTCACTTTATTGAAGAGTGTTCTGTCATCCTTTTCTATCTTCTTGCTTTCTTGATACCCAATTCCAGTTGGAATGGCTAATGTAATTGAAAAGAAAATGAGAGATTTTTTATGAAGGTGGTGGAAGGGTGAGAAGAAATATAATTTGGTTAATTAGAAAAAAGGTGTGCAAACCTAAACTTCAAGGGGGTTTGGGCATTCGGAGAGTGAAGGATATGAATACAACTTTGCTGGGAAAGTGGCTTTGGAGGTTCAGTGAGAGCCAAGAAGGTTTGTGGAGAACGGTGCTAATTGCGAAGTATGGACAAGGCCACACAGGATGGGAGCCAGGGATGCCCAATCAGACTTATGGGTGCTCTGTGTGGAAAGGCATAAGGAAAACTTTCAACCCTTTTATGACGGGTATCTGCTTCAAAATTGGCGATGGCCATCGGGTGAAATTCTGGAAAGACTCCTGGTGTGAAGGCAGGCCACTGAAAGAGTCTTTCCCTGCCTTGTATGAGTTGGTAGTGGACAAAGAATCTTGGGTGGTAGACCACTTACAAGTTCAGAATGGGAATGTAGTCTGGACTCAAGAAACCTTAATGACTGGGAGGTGGAGGCAATGGTGGAAATGCTTCACAATTTATACAGCACTCAGGTGGAGATTGGGAGCACTGATAGAAGGATGTGGAAGTGGGATAAATCTGGAAGTTTTACAGTCAAATCCTTCTATAATCGCATGTCCAGATCAGAGGAACAGGCCATTCCAGCAAACATCATTTGGTGCAAAAATGTGCCATAAAAGGTAGCCTTCTTTGTGTGGACCACCTTCCTCAACAGAATCCTAACCAGGGATAACTTAACTAGGAGGGGCATGCCTTTGGAGTCCAATAATTGTGTGTTGTGCGATGGGCATGTCGAACCAGTTAACCACTTGATGTAACACTGTGACTTTGCCCACGAGATCTGGTCAAGGATTTGGAAAATGTTTGAGGTGCAAACCTGCAATCCAGAATCAGTGATGGACTTCTTACAAAGCTGGAGTGTAGCTGGTCTAACCAAAAGGGGGAAGGTAGAATGGAATATCACTCCTGCATCAGTTTTTGGTGTGTTTGGCAAGAGAGAAACTCAAGAATGTTCAAAAACAAGAGCAGCTCAGTTGATTCAGTTTTCTAGAAAATCTTGGGGAAATTGTTTTCCTGGCTGGCTATGAACAAACTTTGTAGGGAAATAAATTTCAATTCCTTTTTTTGTATATGATAATATTTTTGTAAAGTAGAGGGTGGGGGTTTAAGGTCGTAATGGGCATTAGATGTGCATCCCCCCTTTTTTGTATAGCAGCTTGTTATACTTTTTTTGTCTTCTTAATATATTCATACCTTACTTTCTCTCAAAAAAATATATATATATATGTTATTCTCCTCTGGATACAGCTTAGGGACAGCCCTAGCCAATTTATCTGCCATACTCATATGATAATCTAACTTGAATACTAATAAAAACCATAAAAAAGATGTCTTTTGCACTATCAATATGGCAGACATGACTAATTTGAAACAATAAATATCATTATGTATTAAATTCATTCCTTCTCTAAAGAATAAACATTAAATTTTATTACTTGGAGAAAGAAGATAGTACAGAAACAAGGACAACCTTGACTACCATCAATAGAATACAGAGACAATTTAACACAAGTACTTGTTCTTGTATCTTTTTCCTTGGCAATTGTAGTTTCCTAGGTAAATAACTAAATGATATTGAGGCAAGGCAGGTTTAGTGATGGTCCCATAAGATGAGTACATAAAAGCCTAACACACGGTTTTTGCCAGTATCAAGAAACCCCTATCAACCAGCTAGACAAAGTTAAGACACAGTAGACATGATACCTCTACACATAGTTATAGTTCAAAGTTGTTATTTCTGTCACTTTTTGATGTTGTATTGCTTAATAATTAGTTAAAATTTGATGTATGCAACAGGAAATGGATGGTATCCCCTACTCCATGCGGAAGCTGGACTTTGAACTGGATAAAGACATAGGTGGACCAGCAAACCCTTCACTAAGAACCACCTATAATTCAAATGAGGTAAAACCTTCTCTTAACATAAGTGAACCATCCAAACCAAATGATGACTTGCCTACATCTAAAGAAACTGTATGCGTGGATACAAGCATACAAAATAAACTTAAGGAAAAATTAAGTCTCATTCCTGAAAAATGGACCCCGAAGATTGGCATGATATTTCCAACAGTGGAGGAAGCATATGAATTTTATAACACATATGCTGGAAAGGTGGGATTCAGTATTCGGAAAGCAAGTAGGGTATCGTGCAAACGGTCTAACCAAGTAAGATATGGAAAGTTTTGTTGCTCTAGAGAAGGAAAGCGTAATGCAAGTAGGTCTTTGAATGCCAAGATTCATCGCCCAGAAACAAGATGTGGTTGTATGGCATCTATGACGATAAGCCGTGCGAAGGATGGTTATCGTGTCATTGGTTTCAATGAGACTCATAATCATATGATTGCGACCCCTACAAAATCACATATGTTGAGATCACAAAGAAGGGTTAGTGACATACAAAGTTTTCAAGCTAAAATGGCAGATGATGCAGGAATAGCTCCAAAAGCAGTTATGGAGTTAATGACAAGAGAAGCCAATGGTTGTGAAAATATTGGGTTTACTTCTACAGATTTAAAGAATTATTTGCATTCATACCGAACTAGGAATATGGAGAAGGGGGAGGCATGTGGTATTTTGCAATATTTTGAAGATAGGCGATCACAGGATCCATCATTCGTCTATGCAATACAACTTGACCAAGCTGAGCTAGTTACAAATCTGTTTTGGGCAGATGCACAAATGATAGTGGATTATGCTCATTTTGGTGATGTGGTAAGTTTTGACACAACATATAGAATACACAAGGAGAATAGACCACTTGCAGTTTTTGAGGGAGTGAATAATTATATGCAAACAATAATTTTTGGTGCTGCATTATTATATGATGAAACCACAGCTTCATTTGAATGGTTGTTTGAGGTGTTTCTCAAAACAATGGGAGGAAAACAACCGCAAACAATTCTCACTGATGATGATGCAGCTATAGAAAATGCAATTAATTTGGTGCTACCTAAATCACATCATCGGTTATGTGTTTGGTACATGTTCCAGAATGCTGCAAATCACCTTAGCGGTGTATTTGAGGAGTTCAAGTCATTTTCGCAGGATTTTAAAAGTTGTGTATATGATTATGATGATGCTAATGAATTTGAAAATGCATGGAAGAACATGATTAATAAATATAAACTTCAAGAGAATGAATGGTTGCAAAGATTGTACAGTAAAAGGCACAAATGGGCATTAATATTTGGGCGGCAAACATTTTCTGCCAGCATGTGCACAACACAGAGTAGCGAGAGTTTGAATAGCTATCTGAAAAAATATGTCAATATTAAGTATGATCTGCCAAGGTTCGTTCAACACTTTGAGAGGGTGGTTGCTGATAGGAGATATGAGGAGTTAAAAGCTGAATTTGCAGCAACACAAAGCATCCCATTCATGGCAGCAAATATGGCAATTTTAGATTTTGCTTCTCGTGTGTATACACCACCTATTTTTGCCATGTTCCAGAATGAGGTATTGCAACAATTAAATTGTAGGATTGAAGAAGATTGTGTTGTGTCTGAAACAACAATTGAATATACAATTGGCTTGTATGGTGTGAATCGTCGATACAAGGTGACTTTTGATTCAAGAAACAATTCAGTCGGTTGCAGTTGTAAGAACTTCGAGTCTGTTGGAATCTTGTGTAGACATGCTTTGAAAATACTTGATTATAGACGTGTAGAGGTCTTGCCCTCATGCCATGTATTGAGAAGGTGGACTATTAGTGCAAAAAAATCTAAGAGTGAAGCATCACATGGGCATTTGGATCAAGCTACAAAAATGGCAATACACAAGAAAAAGCTATTTCATTTGTTCACCCAAGTAATTAATCAAGCTGCACCTAATGATGATGCTTACAAGATGGCTATGCAAGTAGGAGAAAAGCTTTTGGAAGATGTGTCAAGGTGTATAAAGCAAGCAACTGTTGAGCAATCATCTGTAGCATTTGATGGCATCAAAGTTGTTCATGTAAGTTAGTTTTCTTCTTTCATGGTTCTAATATAATCCCTCAAAATGAAAACATCTCTTCTAATATGTGTTACAGGATTGGCAGCAGAATATTAACACCGTATTCTCACCACTCCATTGGTTCATGTATAATCATCCTGTCTCACTTGTTAATAATCTTCACATACAAGTGGTGTGTGGATTTTTTTTTAATATAGCCATAAAATTATATATTTTCCTTCACATTATTGATTTTTTATGCATAGGCAGAAATGTCGGGAAGAGTATTTAGTGAAACCATATCCACTACATCTCATCCAAGTCAAGTGATAAAAATTTTCTTAGAAACTATATATTCCAATCATTTTTACAAATTTATGCAACACTAATAAACTATAATGTGCACATGCAGGAGTCATCATGGATTGGACCTTATGAAGACCAACAACTAAATAGAGGAGGGGTGTCTTAGGCTAGCATGTTGATTATCATTTACTGAAATAGATATTTTGTAAACTAAGAGGTTTAAACTTTTTGTAGTTGAATTGATAATTCTGATCTACTTTTTTTCTCAAGTAGTTTGGCCTTTGTTGTGGACTCAACTCTCATGGCCACCTGTGGAAAATAATTTTTCTGTTGTTTGCTCTGCCTTAGCTTCCCTTATAAATGTATTATTATGATTGTTATGATAATCTTCTCTGTCAATCTTGTTTGACCAGGATTTTATTGTTGGTGGGTTAACTTGAGCTCTCCGTTCCTGCTTTAAGTCAAGGTTTTTGGCAGCTAAAGTGAAGACATCTTTCAGTTGCTTCCATATATCTGCTAATTCTCTTGCAGACAGCCTTGCAAAATCAGGAGTAGACAGAGCTCAGATTTAAAGGGACATAGCAGTTCTGGTTTGCATAGGTTTATTGTCTCCCCTTTTTAGAGTGGGTCTTGTGCAGCTTTTCTCATCTGTATCCTTTGTATATTTTATTTTCATGGTTGATTATTTAGGCTAACAAAATGTTTTCCTCTTATCACAGCCATTTGATAGGATCAACGAGTTATTGATTTAGCCATACCTCTTTTAAGCTTAACATAATGTAATTTATCTAGGAAGGATGTTCACTAAATTTCCTAATTTTGTTTAGTTCTGATGAACTAGTGGTGAATAATCCAGCAACTGGTTTTTATTGTCAAAGACAATTCCGTCCATAGAAATGTACATACTTAAATCTACAGTGCATATTTATTGAATTAAACTAAGATGCTGAGATGCCCAAGCATAAATAAGGGTTCATGAGGTTGGCTAGCTGATTTGGTCCCTCCTATCATTTTGGTACCTTGATGTTACTAGTATATGGTTCTCAATTCTCATTTACTATGTGTATACCTTCTTTTAACTGTACCTTCAACCAAATTATGTTGACAAGTAAAAAAGGAGAGACAGCAGAATTATTCAGTTGTATGCATTTGCTAGAGTTATGTTTGCCGTTATGACAATACACACACCACACTTGCAATACCTTATACTAAAGCTTTCTCGAAATAAAAAAAAAGGACAATACACAAAAACTCATGGGGGTATATAGAGAATGCTGGTCTGTTAGCTTGTTTGTTCTGTGTTAGTTGAAGAAGCAGAAGGATACATTGCTTTTCTGCTCCAATGCATCATAAAATAATCACTAATATTTCGGCAGGACTTTTCAATGTGAAAGAGGAAGCAGAAGGGTACACTCTTAAAAGTTGTTCTTGTTGCTAAGGCTCCTGGCTCCATTTGTTTCAATGTGAAAGAGGAACAAAACTTTTCACTCTACACATTTCAACAGTTCATCTATATTTTTGCTCCTTTTATTGTGTCTACCATTGTTGTCTTTTTTTGTTTTTTCTGCCACTTTTGCATTGAAACAAATAAAGCCAAGGAGAAAGGGTGAAAGACATGGTACATAAATACTAGGTTCTGTTATGCTAGCTAGTGTCTACCTTCAACATTCTATTGGATTTAAATTGGAAAAAAAGAGCTACCATTTTAGAAAACACATGGTTCCTGATCATAAATACTAGGTTCTTGGACACAATACATTTTTAATACAACCATAAATACTAGGCTAAAAACATATTTGGAAAACACATTTCCCAACTACTAGTTCTTGAACATTTACATCACAAGAAACTCATAAAAATAACAAGCAAAACCCGCATCTTCAACTCTTCAACAAGTAGCTGTTGAGCAGCCCTCAAAGAATCCAATGATTGTACATGTCTATCCAATTCAAATAGTAACCTATCGATCTCTTCAGCATGGGTTTTTACATGTCCTACATTTATTGATGATGTGGCTTCATCTGAAGTAATTGGAGAAAATGCCTATTCAAAATAGTTGAAGAACACTTTGACTTTTCCTGAATACATGTAAAGTTAAGTCAATGCATCTTATAATTTAAAATGTCATTATGTAAAATATACAATTAAAATAGTACTTACCATGGTACTGGGACAGCTATAAAACAACCTTTGTGGGTTCAAATCTGTCTCTAATACATGGATTACACATTTATTTCCACAATCACAAATTCTTGACTTATATTTTAATTTCTTATAAAATGTATTCTGAGATGTCGATTGGGAATTAATTTCTGCACTAATACCATAAAACCCATTATCAAAAACAAGTTTTTTACTTCTTTTTTCCACATCTCAACATGCAACCAAAATTAATTGGGTTTTATCAACAAATTGGCGCACCAAAAACCAGAAGGATTGGACAACCTTAACTTTATGATTCTCTCTCTATATATATATATATGATTTGTATTAATATGTTAATATGAGGAGAGTGAGAGACGCTCAAACTCCATGTATAAAAGATTCTTTACAACTGTATCAAAAAGCTATCCCAATTCCCAAAGCCATACATGAATCTACAGACGAATCAATTAGAACTTCCCATTGTCATATCAACTAAAGTAGTACAAGTTCAAGCAGTTTTTTGGCTGCTTAATCTTTTATCCAGGATCCATTCAACACTCTATCCTGATCCTCCAAACCAGAAAGTTCAAGTTTCACTTAAAGAATATCTAGTTGCATTAAAACAAACAAACAAACTCACTCCCTGATGTCTGAAATTTAGAACAGCAAGCAGTCCATATAGAGAGTAACTAAACATGAAGATAAAAAGTAACAAATAACCAGAATATTAAAATACATAAATCTAAACAACTTAACTTCATTCAGAAGTCGGGAGAGAATCGAGAGATAAATAATACAAGTTTTCTTTTCCTTCTATTCCTATCTTATTCCAAAGAACAACATTAGATGGGAGGAGGGCATAACTCAACATGAAGACTACAATTAAATGGGCTTTACTCAAAGAAAATGACCACAAGATTAACAATGGATATAGTAGAAGTTCAGGACGGTTATCAGTCTTGAACCCTAATGGATTTCAGGGTCGAAAATAAGAAGAAAGGTAAGAGAAAAGAAGAGGAAGAGGGAGGAGAAGAAGTAGAACACAAGAGTTGAAAGGAGGAGCAGAAGCTTAATGTTCTGCTACCGCCACTTTAATTAATATTTATAGGTTATGCTCATTACATGGAAAGGACAGATCTGCCCTTAGTCTTTACATAACAAATAGAGCAAAAAATAAGACTGAAATAAATAACAATTGAAACAACTAAATGACCAATAGCTAACCCTAGGCAGACTAGAACATCTTCTACCCTACGAACACAGTGAAATCGTAGCTGTGGGACCCACATCAATGTTCTCTACAGATATTACACCATGGTTCAAAGTAACAATACAACTCAATACGCAGAAACAGAATTAGGAATTCTTGCTAGAATGGCACCTCTGCTGTCTAGCAGTTTGTTTTCCTTTGGGTGGAATAACACTATCTTCCATTTCTTGATAAATAAATAAAGTTGGTAGAATCGAAGTGGACTAATGACTAACGAGATGTAGGTCTAATGGCTAGAGTTGAAGAACACTAACTCAGATAAGCATCCGAACAAGTCAATAAGGAATTCAGGTTAACTGACATTTAAGAACCTAGCACAGAACAGACTAAGTTTCACTTGTTTTCTTTTTTTTTCATTGTTTTAACATATTTACTTAAAGATAGGAAAACAACCTTGCCAGCAACAGCTCTTGGTCTGAAAAACATCTAGGGAAAATTCCTTATCAGTATCCTGTACTTTAGCTTGAGTGACAATTTGGTCTCCGAATTTTAAAATGCGACAATTCAATATCCAAACTTTCAAAATGTGACAATCTAGCACCTGAACTTTCGAAGTGTGACAATACCTTCCGTTAACCAGTCCGTTAATCAACCATTAAGTGACGTTTGAAAAGTCAAAAATGCCTTAAGAATGCCATCTAATTCTCTTTATCAACCATCCAAACATTGACAATAAAATGAACAGTCCTAAATTCTAGATTCTTCTAACCAGTCACCAACTTTTTTGAATAGAAGAGGCTAGGATTTGGGACTGTCCAGTTTTTTGTCAATGTTTGGATAGTTGATAAAGAGAATTGGATGGTATTTGAAGGGCATTTTTGACTTTTCAAATATCACTTAACGGCTGATTAACATATTAGTTAACGACAAGTACTGGGTTGTCACATTTTGGAAATTCGAGTACTGGATTGTCACATTTTAAAAGTTTGAATATTGTATTATCGCATTTTAAAGTTCAGGGACCAAATTGTCATTTGAGCCAAAATACAAGATTCTGATCTGAAATTTTCCCAAACATCTATTCTGGAATCACGTTTTAGCCTTTTTTCCCCATGAAATTAAATTTGAAATTAAGAGATTTTACAGAAGAAAGAGACCTATAATTTACTGAAACTTTATTAGTGGATATATTTAAAAAGAAAATACATCCAAACAATCATGAAGTACATAAATGCTGTATTGGTAGTATAAATTCCATATCAGGTAGTAGATAAACAGTCATGTTCTCAAATTTGTGAACATTCTTAAGTACAACTTAGAAACTAAGAAGCCATATTTCCTATTTACTACATGTGGAGCAATAGGAGTAAGGCCTTTTGATGGTGATGCCAGTGGTCAGTCACCGGTTAGATAAGAGAGAGTGAATAGGGGTTTTTGGTTTTGGAGAAAGAATCAATAATACCTGAGATTTATTGCTGGTCGCCAGTGATGCCCTTCGTCGCCGCCGGTAGGAGAGGGAGAAAACGAACAGGGGTTCGGTGATTCGGGAGAGAGAGAAGCGGGAAGGGAAATGAAAATCATCGAATGAAATTAATTCATTTGAGAGGAGAGCTAACAGTGTGGAATCCAGATTCAGTCGGTGCAAAGCCCGTGTCAACAGCCATTATAGCTTTGCATCGAGGATATCTCCCCATGTACGGAGATGTTCCCGATGCAAGGCGGTAAAGGATGTTTGAACAGTATTGGCCATACACTGACTGAAGCCGATCTCAACAGTGTGAGAGCTAAATGCTATTTAGCTTGCCACGTGGCGTGCGAACGGTGTGAGCACGCGGCTTGCACTGACCGACGCTAGATTTGAGAGATGTTTGAAGCGGGGAGACAATTTCGAGATCGCATTGGTTTTCCACACGATGCGCCTTACCCACGTCCCACAGCCGTGCATTGGGAGCATCTCGCGATCCAAATTCACGGTTGGGAATTGGGATGTGATGTAGGGCGCTTTCATTTTCGTTCTCTGATAAAGTAGCCAACGACTTTTTAAATATTTAAACGGTTATGCCATTGAAGGGGCCACGGATTCTTGACGGTCGGAAAGGCGAAGCGAAATAACTGTTTTAGCCCTAGTGATTTCAGCTACAAGCCTACAATGGTTAACAAGACAGACGCAGTGAAGCTGGAAATTTAAGAGAAGCATGTATATCCACCCGTCTGTACATCAATTTACATTTTAGGTTTATGCCTAGTAATATTTATTTATTTATTCATTTTGTATAACTAATTAATTTTTATTTACCGACCTTTTCATTTTGCTTTTGCTTTTAGTATTTTACATGATTTGGGACTAATAACTTCTCATCTCTATAATGTTTCAAGACTTAGAAACAAGGTTTAAAGCATCTATACGCATATCATATCAGAATTAGAAGTCACCGATCTGGGAATTTCAGGGTTTTAATCAAACATATCCATTTGGCATATTTATATGAAATGTAAAGGAAGATATGCCATATATTTATGGAAGAGATCAAAGCTACAAACAAAATGGACACACCAAAATACACAGGAGTTTTTTGGGATGAAAGATGACAGCCCTTCTAATGCTAATAAAGTACAAATAAAATAGAGTATTGTCAGATCGATATACTAATACCGAACCTTGTGTATTGGATATATCTATATTTTAATCTGGTTATAAAGAATGGTTAACCCCAATTTGGGAGTGTTTATTATTAATAAGCGCTTATGAGTAATTGATTATTGGTGAAAAAACACTTCTGTGGCTAGTATAGGTATTTTAAAAACTGTAGCCGCCAAGATGGACTAAAACATAAAAAACAATTATTAAAAAATAATTTGGGATAAATTACAAAGATGTCCTTGTATCATGCGGTTAATGTTAAATACCCCTTGAATTTTTATTTGCAACAAATACTTCTTGAATTTTTACTTTGCGACAAATACCCTTTAAGTCAGATGATAGAATGCATTAAATTATAAAAATATCCACCAAAACTTTCTTATTTTATTTCTTGCCTTCTTCTCTTAAACCTTAATTGACAAAAAATACCTCCATCTTCTCCCAATGAAACCAACTAAAATAACAAGAATTTTTTTACATAGATTTTTTTTTTTATTTCTTGATTCATTTCACTCACAGAAATGTCTCTCTTCATCTTAAAATAAAAAAAAAAAAAGTATCCACTCGTTTCTCCAATAATTTAAGAAAAACCAAATGAAACCATAAATTTATATCTATCATAAAGAAACCTCTACCATTTCATTTGAATATTGAATGTAGCCATAAGTTTGCAAAGATCTATTGGAGCAACCGAGTGGACTTCAATGTTATATTTAGAAAACTAATTGAATAAAAAATCATTCAAATAACTAAGAAAATGGTAGTTTGGGGATTTAAGAAATTATAAATAAATGAATGAGAATCTTTTTCAAAATTATGACAACATTTTAACTGAGGGGGTATTTATTAGAAAGTAAAAGTTTAAGTAGTCTTTGTTGCAAATAAATGTTTAAAAATATATTTGTCACTAATACCATATTAAGGTGGGGTTTTTGTAATTTACCAAAAATTTAAGGGAAAAATCTCGATTAGTCCCTATACTTTTGGCCTAGTGCCACTTTGGTCCTCAAACTTTAAAACACAACAATTCAGTTCCCAAACTTTCAAAATGTGTCAATCTAGTACATGTCGTTAACTAGTCATTATATGGTATTTGAAAAGACACAAATGCCCTTTGAGTGTCATCTAGTTCTCTTTATCAACCATCCAAACGTTGATAAAAAATGAACAGTCCCAAATCCTTGCATCTTCTATTCAAGAAAGTTGGGGTCACATCTGAGTAGGCATTCCGGTGACCCCAACTTTCTTGAAGATTTGGGGTTGTTCGTTTTTTATCAACGTTTGGATGGTTGATAAAGAAAATTAGATGACACTTGAAGGACATTTGTGTCTTTTCAAATGCCACTTAATGGCTGATTAACGATAGGTACTAATTGATACATTTTGAAAATTTAGATATTAAATTATCGCATTTTAAAATTCAGGAACCAAAGTGACACTAAACACAAAGTACAAGGTACTAATCGGAAATTTTCCCAAAATTTAAATTATTAGTCATTGGATGGATTTATTTTATAGAATAAGTACTTATTCGACTTTTTTCCCAAATGCAGGTAATTGCTTATTGGTATTGTCCCGGATTAAAGTTTAACAAACACTCGCAAACCGGACAGTTTGCAGCGACAAAAATCAATTTGCGTCGCACCGCCAAGAAATGAGTCGAATCGGAATTACCACGTATCAGCCTCAGGGCCTGCTCATTTCCTATTAACTCTTATCTCTTAAGGGGAATCTTTTAACTTTAAGAGAAAAATGATTATTCGTTTCCTCTTATCTCTTATTTCCTAAAATGCAATCATACAACTTTTGTTTTCTAATGATACCCCAAAAAGACAAAAAAAAAACTCTCTATATAGGGTCAAAATGAATATTTGATAATTTTTAGAATTCAGAATTCAAAACAACATTATGTGCATTCAGAATTCAAAGGAAAGAAAAATTCACCAATACCAATATACCTMTTGTACTTTCAGATGTCAGACCTCAGAGCAACGGGAATAATGTCGACTTTATTTGATATATTATTAACCGCTTACCACTCTCACGTTTTCCCTCCCCTCCTCGCATTAAATCCCAGTTGCTTTCTGTCGTTGGTTTGTTTAACACCAAGCCTTGAACCCCAAGAAGTCTTCATCTCCGTTCTTTCTTGGGTTTTCTTTCTCAACGGTTTACAAGCTTCAAGAGGAGGTTTTTCGTTAAGAAAATTAACGAGCTTCCAAGTGGGTGTTCTGCATCACAGACTTCAGTCAAGTATTATGAGGTTCTTCATTGCTTCTGCATTTCTTTACCATTCTTTTGTTTCAAATTTCGTTATCTATGTTGGAATTCTGTCAGAAGCAGAAAAATTGTTCTTTAGTTCCTTTTTCTGTTTAATTTGGTCTTGAATTTGCACATCTCCTTGTAAAGGTTCTGCAATTTGTGAAAGATTAAACTGCTCTGTAGTTCTCAAGTTCATTTTGGTTTATCTAGATTCGTGATTCCAGGTTCGAGGGGAAGAAATCCCTGCTTATTCTGTGGATGGATTTGATCTCACATCTCTAGATTGATTTGGGGGAGATGTGTGTTCTTGTTCTTATTCTTTGTTTGTGGATTACACTTTTAGTTTCTAGTTGTAGAATCTGATTCGACAACCTGGATGTCTTGTGAATTGAAATTTTAAATCCGCAGCCTTGATCTTCATCAAGGGATTCGAATTTGCTTCCGTTCTTGCCGCTTCTCTCTATTTCCTAGCCGGAGGACCGTTTAGCTTCTGCAGCTTCAATATGCAGGGAGCTCGACTACTTGTTTGGGTTTAGGCTGGTTGTCTTGGAGATCTTTTTAGGTTCCAATTCCATTACTTACCCCCGGTTTTCATTAGCATTCATTTGTTATGGAAAATAACCCGCAGAAATGCCGGCACCGGTATCTCGGTATAGGAATGACCGACGGAAATAATTCTAGTGTCTTAGATTCTAACCGTTCAATAACAGATAGATCAAAGGTGCACGTACAGAATAGAGATATCGGATTTTTAGTGCCAGAGACTATCCAAGATCAGGAAACACCAGTTTCTGACTCCGAGAGTGGTATTTGTGGTGCCAGTCTTCAGGGAAGTCGAATCTTTGGTGGGGATGGAATGATAAGATTGGAAGGAGGAGATAAAGAGCATAACAATATCAAGCAAAGATTCCTATTGGGTATGAGATCAGTTGGAAGGCATACAGAGGTTGTTAGGATTCACAAAAATTCTTTCTCAAATTTCCTTGGAAGAACCAGAATACAGTCATTTGGGATTTTCTCAGGAGCAATCACACAGAAGTGCCACGGCAACGCCAATATCAAATATGTTTGGTACGGGACTTCAAAGGATGGAATCGAAGGATCATTTCTCATGGTTTTGGGCAGCGTGGGGGGCCTGAGAACAATAGATTGTATGGTTCTGGGCTCTAGTCGAACAATAGATTGTTAGGCTTAAACTCAATTCGAACTAGAGACTTGAGAAGCCCGATTCAAAGCTCTCTCTCAATCAATCAAGGCTGTTCCTCGAAAATTGACTTCTGAATGTTATTTGTTCTCAGGAATTTAAGGCTCCTTCACCAGGGAGAAACGCCAAATAGTTAGAGAGCCTGTTAGAGGAAGGAAAAGGCAACTAGAACTGATTGGCCAAACAAAACGATGAAGATAGAAAATTCAGCGGATTCCCGAATGACAGTCTCTTGTTTCTTTGTTCCTATTCTCCTCAGCTTGTTCATACAAAGGTAACTTCACTGGGAGGCAAATGTTTTCGTTGCTTTGTAACGTGTAAAAAATTTCTGAGAGGTACCGTCCAGATGACGCTGTAATAATAACCTTCAAGATTACCACAAAACGAAATAAACATAAAGAATAGAAAAAAGAGAAAAGGAAAAGAAAAGAATGGATAATTTGGTTTTAATTATAAGGTTATTTACTAAAACATTCGCTATGAGGTGTAGTTTTATGAATTTACTAAAAGCTTTGTGTTTTATTAAAACATCCTTTATAGTTTGTAATTAATTTATTTAATCTATCTTTTATTAGATGAAAATGAAAAATGACATTTTTAACACTAACATCCATTCAAATAAATTTAATTAAAAGAAACTAAAAACAAAAATGTCATTTTTATCCCTAATAATACACTGACAATCACTCTGTTTTTCTCTAATTGATCAATTTTATTTTCAATACAAAAATGTGTTAGGAGTACTTTTTAAATAAACAACCATGGATCCATACCCTTGAACATTTTCCACTTAGTTTAGGGTACTTTTGGAATAAATAACCATGGGTCTATTCCCTTAAACATTTTTCACTTAGTTTAGATGATCATGTTATTATTTTCAAATGATAAAATAAATAGGAGCAAGGTTTAGCTGAACACTTTGGTTGTTCAGTGGATTGTGGAACCAATCCAATAATAAAATACATGGGTTCCACACCTTTCACAGTGGGGCCCATGAATTTATTACTGGCATGGAACTTCACCATTTGTTCCACAGCCCACTGAACAGCCAAAGCGTTTACCTAATCCGAATTCAACAAATAGTTCTTAATGAAACGTCGATTAAGTAAATAGGTTACAAACCATAAGCAGTGTTTTAGTTAAATACAGACTATAGGGTAGGTTTAAGTAAATCTATGAAATTATAAGGGGTGTCCTAGTAAATGACCCTTAATTATAACTTGCAATTGTGTTTGAATGTATCATAACTATATATTGAAGACAAAAGTTAAAGCAATGTTTTCAAATTGTCGTTAGGTCGAACCATTCAGCTGGCAACCGGTTCCATTTTACTCCAAAACCGGTCCCTAGCAAAAAATCGTTAAATTGATTGATTCGTTGACCCAAGTGGTTGAAATGTTGACCTGTTCAATGGTTTTTTGTCATTTTTTATTTTATTTTAATTTTTTTGTTAGAACGAGCCATCCATTTGAACTGTTGATGGTTGAACCACTAACCCAAAAACCAGTGCCCATAATGGTTGGGTTGGTTTTTAAAACCTTGAGTTAAAGTGAGTAATCTGCTAATCTTAAATTTGAAAAAAACAAGAAAATTGTAGTAAAAGGAAAAACAAATAAATTGGGCAAATTCAGACCCAACTCAATTTCAAGTTGTGGTTGGACCTTATTTGTATCATTGGGTTCAACACTTTGGGTTATGTTAGGGTTGGCCTCAATTAGACCTGACCCTCTAAGTTCTAACCCTAAACAGTAACGATATTATGCTACCATATAATTTTTATATAATATTTCATAGGAGGGAGATGACTACCAGAATAGGTAATAAGAAGAAACCTAGAAAGTAATAACTAAATTGTTCTTGGGTTGCCAGCAAGCAAAGAAACCAAAATATTGGCCTAATTCAAATAAATAAGGGTAAAATACAAAAATCTCCCCTGAAATTTATGACAATCATAAAAATCTCTTATAGTTTTACATTAAGAAAAATCTTCTTTGAATTTTTTTAAAATTTGACAAAAACCTCCCTTTCGATCAATGACTCAAACAGAAAATGTCATGTCGATGCATAATTTTATTCCAAATACCCATTTTACCCTTTTATAAATTAATTTACATACATTTATACTGAAATATTCTTGCTGCAAAGGGCGGTGCAGAAGCACAGGAGGGGAAAGGTTATGATTTGAATGCTACTGGGTTCCACATACGTACTCCATTGGCCCTGGGTTCCACAAGAAACTCATCGTTGGATACCCTTCAACGTTGAAGAAGATGAAGAGCTTTTTGCAGCCAAAGCTTGAAGGATTGGCTAAGCAATAAATTGATTTAACCATTTAGAACTCAATTTCTAAGTCATTTTCTTTACTACACAAGGATTAGGAAGATGATTTCCTCCTGCACGTTTTTAAATCCGCCTTCCGATTCTTCTTCCTTCTACTTCTCTTTCCATCGTTTCCACCTCCCAGTTCCTTCTCTGCTTAAATCTATTTTAGGTAGGTATAGTTCCAATTTTTTACTGTTTTTCTTCTAACTCAGACCTTTTTCGTGAAAGGTTTGAGCAATTAGACTGGGAGGAGCCACACACTCTCCTTTTTCGTGAAGGTTTGAGCATGGCTCCTTTTTCGTAAAGCAAGAAACCGCCTTCCTTTTTCGTGAGAGGAGGAACTACACACTCACATGCCATTAGATTGGAATATATATTTAACTCCGATGCGCAATGGCCTTCCTTGTAGTGATCTTTTCCCGCCCTTTTCTTCTATTGCGACCGGTGAGTGACGACGGTCCTGCTTCTCACTCTATTCAATCGTTGGAGTGGAGACAGAGCAAGTAGACGTGAAGCCGACTGGCTAGTAGCCATCCTACGAAGAGCTTGCAGTTTGGCGGTGAGGCCCCCACCGACCAACCCATGGAGAGGCTGCAATCTTTTGATTTCTGTTTGCTCTGACAAAAAAACAACAAATGTGAATAAGATGCTCAATTGAGGGCAAATAAGGTATTTTGCAAATTCATCAAATGACGTTTCAAGGGTAATTTCTTAAATATAGCCGTTTTCCATCTGAGTCATTGAGGGAAGGGAGGTTTTGTCGAGTTTTTTAAAAATTTAAGGGAGGTTTTTACTAAAGTGAAACTGYAGGGGAGGTTTTTATGATTGTCAGAAATTTTAGGAGAGGTTTTTGTATTCTATTCAACAAATAAATAAATCCAAGGCCCAAATTGAAATGATAAACAAGAGATCCAGTTTTTTCTTGGACTCCGACTTCTTATTTACGGTTTAAAGGCATTATTTGGCCAAGGTTCAAAGTATTGATAAATCTGATGAAACAAATATGACCATTGGTTTTTAGAGACCGGATCTACTCCTCACACAGGGCGCCTCACACCGACCTCACACGCACATCCTACCATGCATTAGGAACATCTCCCGTACTTAAAGTTATTATTCACAGGAGATGTTCAATGCATGGTAGATGTGCCTGTGAAGCGCCCATGTGTAAGGAGCAGATCCCATTCCTGGTTTTTGAAATAATTTTTTTTTTTTTTTTGAATTAACAGATTTGATATTCACTCTAATCTCTAATACAGATACAGTACGGTGTTTCAATATTTTGAATCTTTTATTTGGCAAAGCCCCAATATGTCAGTAAAATTATTAATGGATATGTTTTCAAAACTCATAAATCCCAAAAATAAGGTATGAATCATATAACCATCGATATTGCAAAGAGTATCAGGAAGACAATATTAAGAAACTTATCAGGATATGCTTTAAAAAACATTGCAACAATGAAAAAAAAAACATTTAATGCTTGGCTAGGGGAGAGAAACAAATAAATTCCCAAAATATATCACTAACAATGAACAAGATAGGTTCAAATAACTATAAAAAATATATAAATACATAATAAAAATATTTTGATAGTTTATTATCTGTATAAACTACTAAAATATACTTTAAAAGCTGGGTGACTTGTGAGAGTATATGTCTAACACCATCTACAAGCATGAATAAGTAATAACTCCCATTCAATTCCCTCAAAGTCATATTTAAGGTATTAACTCCCATAATGAACTCTATGTTTAAAGTAGTTTTTCCTCACCAATAAATTCTATTAATTAAATATATATCCAAAACTTCTAATAACATAAAATCCATATTTTTTTAAGCTAATTAAAATATAAAAATAATTTTTTCATCCAAGTGGTAAGAAATTCTACCATCCAACCAAATGGATCAACTCAGGATGTCATAGTTAAATAATAATTTTTTTTCAAAATAAAAACAAATATAAAAAATTACATAAAATAAGGTTGTAAAAAATTTTGGGAACATCTCTAACATTTTTGCAATAATAATATTAAAAAGCAAGTATGATAAACAAGAATTGTTTCTTTAATGATGAACCTAAAATGCAAAATTTAAAATTACCCAAAAAATAATTGGATTACTATTTGTTGGCGGGTCAACAGTTCTACCTTTCGTGTCAAATGTGTCAACCCTTGATGCCATAATTAAATAATAAAAAAAAGATTAAAACACAAAAATACAAAAAAAATAAAAAAATTTGCAAAAAAACATTTAAAAACATATTTAATATTATATATTCATCATATCATATATTAAATAAAAATAAATATGATAAATAAGAATTATTTTTGTACACAGAATAATAAAAAAAATGTAAAAAAAATTGGATTGATATTTACCATCATGATCATCTAAAATGCTGCAAAGCAATCACGTATACATTTGATTGTAAAATTATGGTTTGTGATATGAAAAATGTGTGAATGAGGAGGTCGAGTTTGAGTTTGGAAGAGGCACTTTGTGCAAAATATGCCGAAGGTTAGATGAGTAACCCAAGACCCTCTGGATAGTTGGGACTAGCGTTGGGTAATTGCCTTTTTTTTCCTTAAACAAATGAATACATGAGAGCACAAACGCGTACACACACATACAGGGAGGGAGGGAGGAAATAATATACAATATTGGATCATTCAATTACAAGAAACTATATATAGTGAATCGCTGAAGGCCATCTCAAAATTTGGGTGTGCTTTCATCACCCAAAGTCCATCAATATATTGTACACTTAAAAATACAATGCAAAACACATGAAGCACGGAATTCTCGCTAAAGCACCTCAGTGGGTCCATTGAGTTCTTGCGTGGGGGGGAACTCGGTAACATATAGCTGTTATTTCATTCTTTCTGTATCTTTATCTCGTCCTACTTGTGCAAAGCATTTAATTGCCTCTCCAGCTGCAAAATAAGCAGAAACAGACACATTTAGTTCATTGGTTCCCAATACTAAAAATAAAACCTACTGAAAATCAATTATTTAATCTTGTCCTCTTGTCAATGAACATGCTTATTTATTTATTTATTTTGGTGGGTGTGGGGGGG